AACGCAACGAGCTATGAGGCCTAAATGGTGCTTGAAGTAACAAGTTGCGTTCCAGTCTGCCCAGGAAGACATTGGCATAAGACGGTGCCATTTTCGTACCCATAGCAGTGCCATTAACTTGCAGGTAATGTTCTCCATTAAACATGAACTTGTTGAACTTGAGAACATGTTCAAGGAGCTTAGCAAGGGACTCGGTAGAAGGAACTTGTATGGATCTACTATCACAGACTTCTCTACAGGCTTCGATACCCTCATCGTGCGGAATATTGGTGTACAAAGATGTGACGTCCATAGTCACGAGGAGGGTATGATCTGGGAGGCCAGTAGAGGGCGTCTTGTTAATGTAGTCCGTAGTGTCCTTAAGATAGGATGGCAAACTTTCTACGTGTGGACGGAGATGTCAATCAATGAATTCAGAGATTTTCTCCGTTGGGTGTCCAATTGCGCTGACTATGGGGCGACCTGGCATGCCTTCTTTGTGTATTTTAGGAAGCAGATAGAATTGTCCTGGTCTACAGTCAATAGGATTTAAGGTCTCATAGACGTTGATACCAATCTCATTTTTCTCAAACATATCGTCAAGAGTTTTGGTAATGGCGGTTGAGAATTCTTTAGTAGGGTCAGAGTCCAGTTTCTTATAGAAACGTTCGTCTGAGAGTTGTCTTTGGGCCTCCGCCATGTAAGTCTCTTTATCCATTACTACAACTGTAGAGCTTTTGTCTGCTTTCTTAATTACAATGTCATCCCGATTTTTTAATGATTGTAAGGCAGATCTCTCCTCCTTACTCAAATTGTCGGGAGTTTTGTCTGGCATTGAAAGGAGCTTCTCTATGTCTGACTCAACGGCATCAATATACGACTCAAGCGCGCCGCACTTGCCCGGTGTAGGTTCCTAGGCACTCTTGGGCTTATAGAGTTTGTGTTCCACTAGGTCCTGTAAATCTGGCTTGGAAGAGTCGTATGAATTTGCTTCAGAGTCTTTTCTAGAGAAGTGCTCCTTCAAACGAAGTCTCCGAAAGAATGCTCGGGTGTCCTCTCTGACTTGTTTTTCGTCGACCTCATGTGGCGTGGGGCAGAAATTTAGCCCTTTTGAGAAAAGTGAGGTCTCCGATTCGGAGAGAGGAACACTAGATGTATTGAGCACTGGGCAGACGTCAGGAGTTTGTATGGGTCCGTCCCTCGGAATTGTCTTAATGCGTTTGAAGCGTCTCGAGCGGGGTTTGCGTGTTTTGTTAACTCTGACCTCTGACAAGTTGTTCCTAGACTGTGGAACACTGTCGCGGAGAAATTTCTTTTTCTGAGTCTTGTTGACTTTATTCGTTAGGGCCATATTATAGGTGTCTATAATATTATGGACTTCATCAAGATCGGCCTGGGACATGATATCGTTGAGGGATGATTCTAAGGACTCGATCTCACTCTTCAATTGTCCTAACTTGTGGATATCCCAAGAAAGACAGAGTGACATCAATTGTTTAGTACATCTCCTTGTAATAACGTCCCAGCGTTCCTGAAAGCGTTTGGAGATTGGCCCTATGTTAGGTGTAGCGACAGGGTCCCTCTGGTAACTACATACCATCCCGTCCTTAAGAACCTTAGCGGTATCCTTCAAAAGAACCTACCAATTCTCCATTCAAACAAACGAATGGCAGAGGTCTTTAAGGAACCCCCATTGGCTGCATACAGACGCCCAAGGAATCTAAAGGACATGGTAGTAAGAACCAGACTGGACAACCCATTACCTAACGGGGGTTTTAAAACTTGCTCTGACAGGAGATGTCTTCTTTGTAAGCACAGCACTGGCACAGACAGTTTTAACAGCCCTGTTACAGGCCGCAGCTACAAAATACTAGGGAATTTGTCCTGTCATACTGACAATTGCATTTATCTCATCAGTTGCAAAGTTTGCTCCAAACAGTATGTTGGTGAAACAGGAGATCTCCGTAGGAGAGTCAATAACCACCGTTCGACCATTAGGACCAAAAAACTCAATGAACCCGTTGGGGAACATTTCAACCTTGAGGGTCACAAATGGGAGGACATGACAGTAGTGGTGATTGACCATAACCCAAGATGGACAGATGCTCAGAGGAAAAGCAAAGAAAAGTTCTGGATGCACAGATTGAAGTCATTCCGCCCAAATGGTATTAACAAATTGAATGACTTCACCAGAATGAACGTAAATTAGACCCAATTCCTGATCATACTAAACAAAATTATTCTCTCAATTTAGTGTAAACTCTATAGTTAATTTGTGCCACCAACTCTCGAACTCGAACAACCACATAACTATGTATTGCTTACGCCTTTGTTAATTATTTTTTCCCGATAATAAGTCCTTAAATATTTCAAAATTTATAATTGATCACAATTCATATGTTTAAATATCCCTACTTATGATTTTTCTTTCATTATTCTTTATTAAGTAAAGTTACACCATTTTGAGAGAATGAAACAATGTACGATTTACTGATTGTCGTAATTAATTAGCATAATTAATTCGTTCAATTATGTAAATCGCACTTCACCCGAGCATACCCGATAGACCGGACGCATTTCATAGCGGTCCGGATTTCTTTCTTTATTAGTGTTCTTAAAAATTTCCAATTCAACATGTAATTAAGTATGTAAATATCTAGTGTTTAGTAGTTTAGTAGTAGTGCTAGTTGTTTTTGTTTCTCTTTTTCCTTTGTTCTTATGACTTTTTAACTTTTTTCTTTGTCCTGAGGAAGGGACAGGGCGTCCAGAAAATTTGACAATTTTTATTGTTCGTGTCGTTGGTCATTTTAGTGCTTTATATAAATTTCCATCCGTGACCTTGTATCTACTTGGTAGATCCGACATTTAGGATATACAGTGTTGTTGGTTTTTTAGTGCTTATATATATATATATATATATATATATATATATATATATATATATATATATATATATATATATATATATATATATATATATATCCACGGAAAAAGTAAAATTCGGTCAGATTAGTTTTGACGATTTGACGGGGTAGACGTAATCGAGTGATAGTCAGTCTTAATGGATAAAGTGGAGGATTTAACCGTAATTGTTGTGATCTATAAATTGATTATAATATATTTCAGGGGTCTAACCTTAAAATCCCGGTTAGACTAGATTTACAAAATCAGGATTTACAGAAAATTCTTCGATGGACTTACATGTCACGGATTTTTATTTTCTAATTGAATTGCGAGATTAAAAGCGAAGTGAAAGAGATCGACGTGTGGCTGTCGTAAGCGAGAAGGATTTTAAAAAATAAAAACGCGAAAAATGGACTTGAATGATTTTGCACAAGGAGAGTGGATGTTTTATGTTATTGCGAATTTTCTTTTCGTTTGGTTCAAAATTACGAATAGATTATGTTTTCCGTTATTGTGAATTTTTGTTTTCCTTTGGATCTAAATTACGTGTAGATTCTGTGTGGAATAAGTGTGTATTGACATTTTACATTCTCAGGATTGATAACGGGTATTTCTCTAAAAACATTAGCTGCAGATCTATAGCTCTCCGAAAAAATATATATTGATAGACCGGTCTATCAATATTTTTTTCAGAGAGCTACAGATCTGCAGCTATAAAAACATCAGCATTTTACTTTTTGTACGTGCTTTTGCTAAATTGAATCAGATTTATTTTTAGACCGTGCTGTATTTTAGCACAGGAGTCTGAAGTTTTTATCGTGAAAAAAAAATTTAAAAAAAAAAAAAATCCGGAAAAACATTTTCCTACCTTTTAGTTAAGGGTAGGAAAATTTTTTTCAAGATTTTTTTTTTCACGATAAAAACTTCAGACTTCTGTGATTTTAGATACAGGATAGTTGGCAAAATGAAATACAGTACGGTATACTGGGCTAATACAGAACGGAAAGTAGCTCCGCCCGCCAAAGTGCCGTTCTGTATTGCTAATACAGAACAGTAAATTTCAAAGAAAAACACCGCTATCGTGTCACAACATGTTCTAAAACAAACAAGCCCAAAACAAGAGCAGTATTTATAGAAATATATAGAAAATATCTTTAAAAATCTTCTTCTAAAGAACCACTTGGCCAGGAAAGCTGAAATATGGAAGCATCCTTGGTTAGTATAGAATCTAAATTGTGGTAGGACGGGGCCATAATAGGGAATCCAAGTTTTTCATAGAATTATATAGAAAAAAATCTATAAAAAATCTTCCTCTAAAGAACCACTGGAAAGCTGAAAAATATATATGGAAGCATCCTGGGGAATTTTAAATTTTAAACTGTTAAAATCATGACACCCTGGGGTAGGGTGGGCCACAATATGTAATCAAAGGTTTACATAGACTTTTATGGAAGCATCCTGGGGTAATTTAGATTTCAGATTATTAAAATCATTACCCCCGGGGGTAGAACGGGGCTACAATAGGGAACCCAAGTTTTACATAGAATTATATAGGAAAAATCTTTAAAAATCTTCTTCTCAAGAACCGTTTTTGGAAGTATCATTGGGTATTGTAGATTCTAAATTTTTATGATTAAACAGGGTAGGTGGAGGGGGGGGGGGTAGGGGGCCACAATAGGTACAACGAGGTGAAATCTGGTAAAGAACTGCATCACCTAAGTTACTCAGGTGAGCGATGTGGCCCATGGGCCTCTTGTTTAATTTTTGGGGGTTGGGGGAGGGGTCCACAATATCTACTATATTTAAGTTTCAATATCCTATAGATCATAAATTTCACATTACTTTGGGATACATTTCTTGTTTCAATTCATCTGTTTAATTAATAGCAATTGTAAATACCGAGTAATAATTTCTGTAGATTGAATTTAAACTGTTTTAAATGTAAATGGTAAACTTTCAAGCATAATGACTAGCAATTTTTCTAACGATTATAATATCTGACATATACAACTACAAAGAAACTTTTCCAAACTTAAATCATCTTTTGTTAAATTCTAATGAAAGATTTATCATCATGTATTTTATACATATAGATCAGCAGCAACAAAAAACAGATGATCAAAAGAAAATTGAAAGTACTGAAAGTGCTTGTAGAATGGACCAATTACAATGGAAAGGTATATTTCTAGGTTACGGTAAAACATTAAATGCTTGGTAAGAAGGATTTTATTTTCATGATTTAAATCTAAAGGATCTCTTGATTTTCCCTTTGGGATGTTGTTAGATGTTAGTGTAGCAAGTATGCGAGCGGATCACACATGGGTTAGGGGAGTTAGAACCCTAACCCATCTAATTTTAATTAGATTGAATCGTACACAGTCATGTATATTTCCTTGTTAAGGATAATTAAGACAACATGTTGAACTTCTTAGTTTTCAAATATTGTTGTGTTCAAATTTTCAAACTACTCAGATGATTTTTTTGTGGAATGGAATTTTTATTAAAGTCCTAAATTGATAAAAAGAAAATATGTAAAATCATTTAAATTGGAACTTTTCAAAGAGTGATAAAGATGATTAAAATTTGTATAAATTATTATTCAGAGACAAAAACTGTTCAAAAGGACTACAAACGTCAACCACAGAAGTTGCCAATCACTCAAGAGTTCAACAGGAGACAAGGTATTCACTTCATTTTCCTTTAATTATTATTTTTCTTTACTACGTCTTATAGTCGCCCGAGTTGCGCAGCGGTTAAAACGCGTCTGTCGTAGAGTTGAGAAGTAAGGAGTTGATCCTTACGCCGCGGGTTCGTATCCAATTGGTGGACGTGGAGAAAGGTCTTTCAGACTAGACCGTATAAATCGAGTCCCGTGTCACAGTTCTACTCAGTAGCCCCGAGTGCCGAGCGTCAGTCAAAATCTGTAGGACTGCTTTTTTACCAATGTGTTATGTAAATAATAAATTCTGTGCACTGATTTCAATTTTAATTTACCAAGAATTTTTTCATAAAGGGTGTATAATAGATGTTTCAGTTGTTCAATTGTTATTGACATGTAGTATTTAATTACAAAATTGAAAATGTTTAATCAATATAATATACTAATCCAGGCACGTAGAAACAGGGAGGGCAGGAGGGGTGGCCCACTTTTTTTCCAAACAGTACTTTAACTATAGGAAATGTTCATTGAAAGGGTGGTTAACCCCCCCCCCACTTAATATATAGGAAATTGATATCAGGGAAATGTAGTATGAAATGCAAAAGAACGGGTACTGAAAGAAGTTGGCATTGGGGAAAAGTTGGCCTCTTACCCCACCACCACCACAACCACCACCACCAAATAGGATTTTCGAGTTTCGGCAATTTTTTTTTCCTTTTTAAATTTTTCAGGTAAGTCAAAAAAAAATTCTCTAGCTGGCCCCCTCATTTCAAAAACGATGCTTCATGGCTGTTATCTGTGTAATATTCATTTTTTAAAAATAAAACATCGTAGCACTCTACATGTACAAAACGGTTTTTTCTGCATTACAGGTCGTTTGTGTAGACCCAAAGAAAAGTGCTTAAAGGATAACGTATATGCATCTCTTGAAATTGGATCAACCTTTTCTGGATACAGTTATTGTTTTGGCAACAACGAAAAAACGTTCATTCCTTATTGGTGTTCGGGGTTTTCGGGGCATAGAAGTCAATATACGCCAACCTCGGTTGTTCTTGATAATTTGGGAGAAGCTAATTCGTTCGGTTATGAAGCAGAAGATTTTTACTCTGAGAATTCTGGGATTTTTTTAAATAAATACTTCTTTTTTAGACGCTTTACATTGGAATTTTTAAGGAAAATCTCCGAAGAAGACTTGGTAAGTTACCTTTATTTGGTGTGGATATTGCTCACATTTCAAGCGGATTAGACGGATTTGTCTTGGAGTTCAGATTCTAGAACGCAGTTCGCAATTCAAAAGTAAATTGCGTTCTATAACGCAGTTCGCAATTCAAAATTTTAACTTACGTTGTGTGCTATGAAATTTTGAGGGTGGAGTACTAGGTGTCAGATTCCACTTCTATGAAAAAATGGTGATGGTACCATCTCTAGGTTCCGAGAAGTTGCCCCCCCCCCAGGTTTTAGCCCTACTATCTAATACTATACGAATAAACATCGGGCTCGGAGACATCGAAGTCCCCTACCCTAGACTCTGAAATTTTGAGGGTTGGGTACTAGGGGTCAGATACCTCTTCTTTGAAAAAATGGTGATGGTACCATCTCTAGGTTCCGAGAAAACTGGCCCCCCCAGTTTTTAGCCCTTCTATATAATACTATACGAATAAACAACGGGCACGGAGACATCGAAGTCTCTTTTCCTGGGGTCTGAAATTTTGAGGATTGGGTACTAGGGGTCAGATACCACTTCTTTGAAAAAATGGTGATGGTACCTATTCTAGTTTCCGAGAAATTGCCCCCCCCCCGAGTTTTTAGCCCTACTATATAATACTATAAAAATAAACATCGGCCTCGGCGACATCGAAGTTCCCTACCCTGGGGTCTGAAATTTTAAGGGTGAGGTACTAGGGATCAGATACCACATCTATGAAAAAATGGTGATGGTACAATCTCTAGTTTCCGAGATATGGCCCCCCAGTTTTAGCCCTACTATATAATACTATACGAATAAACATCGGGCTCGGAGACATTGAAGTCCCCTTCCCTGGGGTCTGAAATTTTGAGGGTGGGGTTTTAGGGGTCAGATACCACTTCTTTGAAAAAATAGTGATGGTACCTCCCTAGTTTCCGAGAAATTGCCCCCAGTTTTTAGCCCTACTATATAATACTATACGAATAAACATCGGGCTCGGAGACATCGAAGTCCCCTACCCTGGACTCTGAAATTTTGAGGGTGGGGTACTAGGGATCAGATACCACTTCTGTGAAAAAATGGTGATTGTACCATCTTTAGTTTTCGAGAAATTGCCCCCGCCCCTCAGTTTCTAGCCCTACTATATAATACTATACGAATAAACATCGGGCTAGGAGACATCGAAGTCCCCTATCCTGGGGTCTAAAATTTTGAGGGTGGGGTACTAGGGATCAGATACCACTTCTATGAAAAAATGGTGATGGTACCATCTCTTGTCTCTGAGATATGGCCCTCCAATTTTTAGCCCTATTATATAATATTATACGAATAAAAATCGGGCTCGGAGACATCGAAATCCCCTACCCTGGGGTTTGAAATTTTGGGTGAGAAAAATAAATAATATTAGCAGGGATATTTTAACATATGAATTTTCACCTATTATTAATTTTGAAATATTTTAGGACTTATTATCGGGAAAAAATAATTAACAAAGACTTAAGCAATACATAGTTATTTTGGTTGTTCGAGAGTTGGTGACGCATTCTGATGAAGTCATTCAGTTAGGGCGGAATTACCCTCAAGGTTGAAATGTTCCCCAACGGGTTCATTGAGATTTTTGGTCCTAATGGTCGAATGGTGGTTATTGACTCTCCTGTGGAGATCTCCTATTTCACCAAGATACTGTTTGGAGCAAACTGATGAGATAAATGCAGTTTTCAGTATGACAGGACAAATTCCCTAGTATTTTGTATCTGCGGCCTGTAACAGGGCTGTTAAATCTTTCATGTGTCAGTGCTGTGCTTACAAAGAAGACATCTTCTGTCAGAGCAAGTTTTAAAGCTCCCGTTAGGTAATGGGTTGTTCAGTCTGATTCTTACTACCATGTCCTTTAGATTCCTTGGGCGTCTGTATGCAGCCAATGGGGGTTCCTTAAAGACCTCTGCCATTCGTTTGTTTGAATGGAGAATTGGTAGGGTCTTTTGAAAGATACCGCTAAGGTTCTTAAAGATGGGATGGTATGTGGTTACCAGAGGGACCCTGCCTCTGTTGTCTTTCTCCTTGTAGCGTAATAGGTTTTGCCTGTCACGTCCCACCATCTCATCAATAGCTGTTTGTACTGTGCGGGCATTGTAGCCTCTTTTGCATAAGTGGGACTTAAGAAGACCACTCTACTCCTGATATAAGGCAGGGGACGAACAGATGCGTCGAATTCTGGTGGCTAGACCCTTGGGCACTCCCTTAAAAGTGTGTGGGGGATGACAGCTAGAGGGCATAAGATATAGGTGGGAGTCTGTGGGTTTGGTGTGGAGACTGAATTCGATTTCACCATCAATCAGGGTAGATGTAGTACTAGTATCTAGAAATACGTTTTTCGAATTAGATATGTCTACTGTAAATTTGATCGACTGATGAAAGGTGTTGGCAAACGTAATGAATGCCTCGAGGCTCTCGCGACATTCCACCCACTTCATCTCTATATCGTCAATGAAACGCAACCAGCTATGGGGCCTAAATGGTGCTTGAAGTAACAAGTTGCGTTCCAGTCTGCCCATGAAGGCATTGGCATAAAATGGCACCGTCTTATGCCAATGCCTTCATGGGCAGACTGGAACGCATATATATATATATATATATATATATATATATATATATATATATATATATATATATATATATATATATATATATATATATATATATATATATATATATATATATATATATATATATATATATATATATATATATATATATATATATATATATATAATATTTAACTCTCACCATCCGGGAGGTTTTTTTTAACTACCTTTCGAAGCTCTTATCACATTACATACCCTATATTACTTGAATAGAGAAAAACTGCAACATTTATTAATTGAAAATGACATATTTTAAACATTTATCGGTTTAGGATGACTTACTGACTCAGCAGATAGTCGCAACTTATCAGCTTATGTATTTTGTTATAATTCTTTGAAATTTTGAGCATAGTTATACATTATGAAGATCTACAGTATGATATAATATAAGAATTATCATGAAAGCACGTGCATGCACTTGTGCTGTAATCTGATTGGCGGAAACTTTAAATACCTAATACCTTTCTTGGTTCTCAACAAAATAGGATGAAATTTAGAATATGAATAAGTATAATAGATTTCCACATAATGCTACTATCAAAATTGAATGCAAGAACGTGCATGAACGTGCGCATATGCAAAATGAATATGATACTTGAAAAATGGAAACATATTTTTTTGTATTATTATTTTTTTGATTCTCAGTATATAAAGATATGTTAATCGTTAAGTCAACTTGTCGTGATCATTTTGCATATGTATGAACGTGCGCGCGCATGCAAAAGTTAAATGATATATAGTTGAAATCATTGTAACTTTTTTTATTCTCAAATGAAATCCTTCGATACTGAGCAAATAAAAATGTCTTACAGGAATAAGGCACAAAAAGGAATTAGGGGAACGTTTAGGGAAAAATTGTAACGGTCCCCGTTACAGTTAACACTAGTTTCTAATGAAGACGATTGCCATTAATCAGTGCATGAACAACACTAAGCAAGCCACGTGTGTAGATTTCTTTAACAATGGCTGTTCCATCAGTTCACAAATAATGACATATTCATCTTAAATACAATAGTAAACAAATTTAATTTTACCATGAATGATTTTGAATACAGACGTAAATATAAACAATAAAAATGCTTTCTTTGTTCCTAATTGTTTGGAATTAACGTCGCAGCTATTGCAGAAAAAAAAATTACATAACCTGATAAGTTTTATTTGCATTGTAGAATCTAAATTCAATGTAAAACTTAAAAATGATGCAGACTTTTAGAAATAAAGGCCCAGACCAAAATCGACTCAAAAGCACGAGATGAAGCGTTCTTAAGAAAAGTTTTATGTTCACTATATGTTGCTATGTGGGGGCATCAGTGTTTCACAAACACATTCGTTTTTACTGCAACAGCTGTGACATTTATTCCCGTACTAACAACAAAGAAAGCTTTTATTATTTATTTGAAGTGTCACGTAATTTTAAGAGTAGGTAATTAAGAAATACTTAAAGTGGAGTTATTAAAAAGGGTTCTTCGCAAAAACCACTGGACTAGAAAAGAAAAATAATATATAGAGTTTTGTCATTGTGATGATTCAAGTTTTTTAAACATATGACCACTGGGGATAGGCGAGCAGGGATAAATTTCCAACTTTTAAGGTCACAGGAGTAAACTCGGTTTATTTTTCTGTTTTTAACTATCTGTTTTCATCCATACGTTGTTCGTAAAGTTTGACATATTTAGCTTCTTCTCTGGAACCACTCAACCAATTTCCACAAAATGTAGCATATAGCTTCTATGGCTGACGGGAAACAAAGAATGTGAATTTCGTGGTCCCTTTTCCCCTGGGGCTTGAGTGGTTGGGCCAAAAACACTAAAATATATGCAATCATTAGAAATATTCTACAGTAATTTTACTCTTAAACATCAAGCATTCAAACTCGGGGCATGATTGTAATAAGTATGGAGTCCTCTTCTAAAATTGTGAAATTCATAGCCCTAGGGTCAGGGTTTGTAGTGCTATATATATATATACTGACACGCAAAAGAAACGCAAAAAGCAGTAATCTTCAAAAGTTTGAATTTTTTGTCTAATGATTTTTCAAAAAGAATAAAGTAAAGCTAAACTCACTTTTCAGAACATCAGAGATTTGATATACCGGTAAATGTTGAATATTTATCTTTCA